ATAAAAGGGGAGTAAATGGTAAGAGTGTCTAGAAGTAAAAGATAGACTTACCTCCCTATTCTGGGTGATAGTCACAGTAAACGAGAGAGGGTGACTGAGAGTGCATAAGACTACCCCAAGTAAGTGGTAGCAGCAGGGGAGGAGTGGGGAATCTGGGAGCATAAGCCACTTAGTGGGTGATCCAGATAACCTGAATAGCCTGCCCTTTTGGTTCACCATTCGGGGTGAAAGCGTACCTTCTTTGTGTGGGAAAGGAGGTGTAAGAGAATTGAGTGTCCTGTCCTGGGAGGCAGGAAAGAGACACATTCTAGGAGAAGAGTGTAGTGTAAAAACAAGGAGAAGCCTTGGCCAGGTCTTTCTGCCTACTCAATTCTGAGAGGAAAAGGGATAGATAGAAGTACCTAGGGGTTTCTAAAAATGGGAAATCAATTGAGGGGGGAGGCGCTAAAATTAAAGGACCCCTTTTGACTCCTTGCCAATAGTTAAGAAATCATTATGGCAAGTGGATAACAAAATTCTTAAAGCAATGGCACAAGCTTACACAGATCACAGACTACCCTATACCGATCCAAGGAACATATGATATTCGTGCTTAGACGGCCTTACAACATAATTTTAAAAAAAAATGACAACACCAAATGAAATGGCAGATTGGGCACGATGAAATAGTGAATCTTACAATAAAACAGCAAAGCTCTTACTGGCAGTGTTCCCAAAAGAGTTAGAAGAAGAGGGTGACATATCAGAAGAATTGATAATGAGTACCCACTTGCCAGCTAAAACACTTATACAGAACCCTAGCAGGCTAGTAATAGAGGAGGTGTCTCCCAGCGGCATGCAGAGAGGTCACTAGTAGTGATAGCCGCCCACCCCCATATGCAGCAGCTGCCTCTGCACCAAAGAGAAGCCCTCAATGGAAAGAGGGAATTGGGGAAAAAGAAGGATCTAGCATGGGAACATTAAGGGAAGCAAGTGGATACAGTAGTTCATCGGGAGGACAGAGTCCATATGATATCCATTTGTATCCCCCTCTGCCGCCTGATGAGGAATGGGATAAGGAGGACACTCTGGACACCACTCAGGAGGTAATTAGGGGGCCCCATTATAATCTTAGGAGAGAAAGAAAGCGAGTAGGTAGAATAAACCCAGTAAAGGAACAAGCATATGACCAAGCCAGTAATTTAACAGGAGTAATAACTCATCATGTCCCCTGGACTCCAGGAGAAATGAATACCTTCTTGAATACTGTCCCAAAACCAAGACACAGCCCTCACTTGTTTGCCCAAACATATGTAATATAGCAACAAGCTATGCGGCAAATTGGACAGACATGTGCCGCATCATTAAGGGAATAGCTGGGATTAGTGATTATGAGTTAATAATATGGGAAGCAGGGTTGTATAAGCCAGAGGAGTTGGGGAAAACAAGGTTAACCCCAGATGATTCTTCAGAGATGGCGATAACTCAGTGCACTAAATTGAAGGCAGCGTTAGGTAAGATATTCCGTGCAGCTTTCTGGACCATGGTGAGTACAATGTCACAGGGGAGTAAAGAGGAAGTGCATGACAGTACACTGACAGATTTAAAATAGTGGTCGCAGAGACAGGGCAGGACACAGACTCTGTTACCTTGGCGCCTATGCTTGCTGCCATGTGGGTACAGGTTTGCACCAACCCATCAGAGATAAGCTGACTATACGCTATCCAGAAAGAAAGACCATGAGCTTACAAGCTTGGACCACCATAGCATCCAATATACAGAAGAAAATGGATGATATGGAAGGGAAAAAGCCTCAGCGTGTGGACCTGAGCAAGGAAGGGGGGGGGGACGGTTTCCCAATCTGACTTGTATCAACTGTGGTAAAATTGGTCACATAGCCCGAGATTGTTGGGGACCAAGTAAACAAGTCAGAAAACCATGGGTCAAAAGGAATTGGATAAGCCCAGTCTTGCCAGTGATATCAGAAACAGACAGCGATGATGCATTTGTAATGTTAACATTGAAAAAGATGCCATTCTTTGAGGAAAAGGAACTCACTTTCCTTGTGGACTCAGGGGACAGCAAAAGTGTTATATCAACACAGATTGCTCACCTTCTGGTTCAGTGTATCAGTTGTGGGACTAAATGGTTCTACAGTAATGTTACAGGAAACCCCTCCCCTTCAAATAGCATTAGGAGATGTTTCCTTATAATCCACCTTCCTGTTGTCTGATACAGTGCCTTGTAACGTGCTGGGAAGAGATATTTTGCCAGAATTACAATATTCTATAACTTATACACCAGAGGTAGTCTTTGCAACCTCACCATTGACTGAAGTAGAACAAGATGTGTGTGACAGTCTGCATGTGCTAGTCACAGCACCCGGAACATCCCACAATGCTTGAAGAGCTGCCAGAGACACTCTGGGCCACCTCAAGAGAGGATGTGGGGGTGTTAAATGTGCCTTCAGTCAATGTGGAGTTAAAGCCAGGAGTTCCTCTGCCAAAACTATCACAGTATCCATTATCCCAGCAGCAGCAGAAGGACAGTATCAGGGAACAGATCAAAATGTATCTAGAAAAAGTGGTGTTAAAGAAAGTAAGTTCTCCTTGCAAGGTGAAGAGATAGGAAAATGGAAAAAGGCTAGGTGCACACAGGATGAAAAAGGTATTTGGCATCATGAGGATGGGAGACCATGTGCCGCTTATTCTATGTATCCTGCTTTATGGTCCATGGCACACCGCCCCTCTCATGTTGCCAAAGGAGGGATGGTTGATGCAATTTTGCAAATATGGTTTGCGCCAGGTATTGAGACAATGGCAAAACAATTGTGTCAGGCATGTCTGATTTGTGTACAGTTCAACCCAGGGAAAAAGGTAGGAACACTGTCTGGTCATATCCCAAGACATTTCAGAGGTTACAGATAGGTTACATACAGCTGCCAAAGGTAGGAATGTATGAATTTTGTTTAAGGGTCGTAGATGTTTTTTCAGGATGGTTGGAAGCTTTCCCAGTAGGAAAAGCTACAGCAACAGCCAAGAAACTAATACAGAAGAAGTATGCAGGTATGGAATTCCAGAGACAATAGAGAGTGATAGAGGGAAACACTTCACAGGTCAAGTAAGAAATACTGACAGCTCTCAATATTGAACAACGCTTGCATACACCATACCAGCCTTTCTCAACCAGGGTGCCCAGGCACCCTGGGGAGCCTTGAGGTTTCTTCAGGGGTGCCTTGGCAAAACGTCTAAAAATTGCACAAAACGTGTATACAAGCCAGCGGGTGGAAGAAGCCTGCCTTTTAGTTACATAAAGCCATAGGATTTCATTGTGTGCCACTATGACCTTCTAACCACCAGCATCCTGACAATCAATGACACCATCAGTTAATAAGGAGGATGTCAGTTACCTGCACTGCATCCTTGTTTGACCCTCCCCTTTCTCTCTCCATCAGCGCTGGGGTCACATCAGCTCAGTGATGGAGTATAACTGAGAGTAACACTGGAATACTAGTCAGGACCAGTGTGAAAAAGTATATTTCATTTGGAAAAATTACTCACCTCTAGTGTTGGGTGTCCATGTTTGGATGTTGCTTCATTATAGAAAACTATTAGAACAGTTTTTTACAAATGGGGTGCCTCAAGACTGTCCATAATTTGAAAGGGTGCCTCAAGACTGTCCATAATTTGAAAGGGTGCCTTGGGACTGTCCATAATTTTAAAAGGTGCCTCAGGACTGTCCAAAATTTTAAAGGGTGCCTTGACAAAAAAAAAAAAGGTTGAGAAACACTGCACCATACAATCCCGCTGCAAGTGGCAAGGTAGAGAAATATAATGGGTTGTTAAAAGCAAAGCTGAGGAAAATTAAAGCTGAGAGAGGATTGAATTGCTTACAAGGATTACTAATTGCACTGTTCTCTTTAAGAACCACTTCTAAACAGAAAGAAAAGTTATCTCCTTATGAGATACTTTTTGGATCAGTGCCAAAGACAGGTTTGTACTATCTACAGGCTTCAACCAAATCCTATGGTACACTCACTGAGTATGTAATAGGATTACAGAAACACCTCAATCAGTTGCATAATAAAATCTATGCCTCACTTCCAGATCCAGATGATCTTGAAGGGACACATAAGTTGCAACTGGGTGATGCTTAAGAAGCACCAGAGGAGAGGTCTTGAGACCAGGTGGACAGGACCCCATCAAGTGGTACTGGTGACCCCAACAGCTGTAAAGCTTGAGGGAAAGGAGACTTGGGTTCATGCATCAAACTGCAAACACGTGCATAAGGCCGTGGTACCTGAGCAGTCAGGCTAGTTTAAGGGATGAGGCCTCGGAGGGGGCCCCTGGTCTTGGCAGGCGGTGCTTAGGAAAAAACATTAATTGTGTCCCTTTTAGTTCCAGAACAAAATCATCTGTGGAAGAGGAAGATGAGAGCATGGCATTGTATCCTGATGATACTGATCCTAGGTCCAATGGATGTGAGAAGCCAAACCTTCCTGAATAGGATGGTTCAATTGCATGAGGTGATCTCTAATCAATTTAATCTCTTAGACTGTTGGATATGTACTATGATTCCCCCTAGTGTACGTCATACACCCATAATTGCTATGGCAGTGACAAGACCTGATTTATATAATGCCTTATTAGTAAATTTGTCTACAAATAGTATATTAACTTTGCAGCAAAGAAAGGCAGCCAAGGACAAAGATCTGTTAGTCCAGGGTATATTGGATAAAGGAATAGGTATTACCTTAAATGAGACAACTAGGCTAGGTATCACAGATTATTACCAGGAGCCAAGTGAGATCCAAGTTGTACTAATTGGTTGTTTATAATATATAAAATCAGACTATGTGTCGATGTAAAGATGATTGCTCCGATTGTTTTAACACCACCTTCCGCCCGCCCTATAGTACAATGACGGGCGCAAGGTGGTTCTCTCGTTCTGATAGGACGTCATATGACGTCCTACCATTCTCACTGCGCATGCGCGGCTCAGGGAGCGCGCAGCGCAGCGATCGCTGGTGCGCTGTGTCCCTCGGACACAGCGGATCACGGAAAGAGCCGAAGATGTCGGCTCGGTCATCTGATCAATCACAGCTGATCACATGTAAACACGGAAATGCCGGGTTATCGGCATTTCTCTCCTCTCGAGCTGTCACGCTGACAGCTCGAGAGGAGAGCTGGTAATCAGCTTTCCGCGGAGGGGACATGTACACTGATCATCAGGGCACTGATGATCAGTGTGCCCTGATGATCAGTGTGGCCCCAGAAGTGCCACCTGTCAGTGCTCATCAGTGCTATGTGCCAGTGCCCATCAGTGCCACATCAATGCCACATATCAGTGCATACCAGTGCACATCAATGCCACATATCAGTGCCCATCTGAGCTGCCTTTCAATGTCACCCATCAGTGCCAGTCAGTGCCCCCTATCAATGCCAATCAGTGCCACCTATCAGTGCTGCCAATCAGTGCCACCTATCAGTGCCAGTCAGTGTCGCCTATCAGTGCACATCAGTGCCAGTCAGTGCTGCCTATCAGTGCCGCCTATCAGTGCCAGGCAGTGCCGCCTATCAGTGCCAGTCAGTGCTGCATATCAGTGCCAATTAGTGCTGCCTATCAGTGCCGCCTATCAGTGCCATGTATCAGTGCTGCCTTTCAGTGCCCACCAGTGATGCCTGTCAATGCCCATCAGTGCAACCTACCAGTGCCTCCTCATCAGTGCCAATCAGTGCCACCTATCAGTGTCCATCAGTGCAGCCTATCAGTGCCCATCACTGCAGCCTCATTAGTGCACATCAGTGAAGGAGAAAAATCACTTATTTACAAAATTGTATAACAAAAACTAAGAAAAAAAGTTTTTTTTCCCAAAATTTTCAGTGGTTTTTGGTTTGTTTAAGAAAAAATAAAAATCCCAGAGGTGATTAAATACCACCAAAAGAAAGCTCTATCTGTCTCAAAAAAATGATAAAAATTTCATATGGGTGCAGTGTTGCATGACCGCGCAATTGTCATTCAAAGTGTGACAGCGCTGAAAGCTGGAAATTGGACTGGGCAGGAAGGGGGTATAAGTGCCCTGTAGGCTACTGGTTAATGAAACCTTGAAGCAATCATTAAAGGCTTTTGATTTACCAGACAAATGTAATGCCACATATATAGATAGTGTTATGAATAGGTATAATTGATCCCTAAAGGAGTTGGTAAATTCAGAGTTAAGTAATGTTGGGGCAAGAGTTCTACCTAATCCATATTATTTTGCTTGTGGACAGAAAGCAAGGAAAAGTAAGATACATAAACAATTGAAATTTAAGAAAAATTTAGATGTGTTTGTTGCTTCCGTTCAAAGGCACAATGGACAGCGGTATAGAAGAAACTGAGATGCCTACACCGCTGTCACCCATCTATAAGCCAGGCCCTGACCTAACATTCGGTGCACTCCTTGAACTACCTGTGTTGACACCAGCTTCCCCTGGAATAAGATATACAGGAATCAAGCATTAACCTAATGATGAAATGGAGACTGAAAAGCCTCAGCTTGACGGTGCCCAAGGCCCTCCAATCACAGTTCCTCACCAGATGTGTCCGGAAATAGAATGGACTGAACCTGCATTAATTGACCTACTGGCAACTAGTGGTGGATGGAGTCAACCGCTAATCCATAGCCCCGGATACAACAAGAAATTAAAAAAATATTTTAATTGTCAGACATTCATATATAAATAAGAGTTTTATTAGCTAGCATGTGAAAGCGTTGCAAATTGCTAAGAGTGAAAATGCAAATAAAGATGAGTGCTTGCTGGTGTGATTGCATAGGGACAGCATACTCCTTTTGTGTACCTGCCCCGGTTGGAGGCATTCCTCCGACATACAGGTGGATCTAGCCTACCTATATGTCCCGGTAAAGGACAGGGATGGGATGTTGTCCACCTCTAGGCAAGTTAGTAAGGAAGCTTTTGAAACATCCACTGGGGAAGAGCCGAGAGGCAAAAGGACGCAGAAGGTGGAGAGCCATGCCTGTGAGAGACAAGTAAAAGAAGGTATCACAGGGCTCGCCGTCCCTGAGTGTCATGCTACTGGGTTTCTCAACCAGTGAATGATAAAGGGAGATGGGTCTAGTGATTGGCAGGTGGTCAGAAGAAGGTTAAAAATGTAGAGAACCTTGATGTTCTCTGCAGCCTCTCTGATGGTCATGTGTGAATCAGCTGGACTACATGTCCCCTGTCTGCATTGTAATTGTTAAAAACTAATGTGTGATAAAAAGTTAAGAATAATGAAAGTGAAGAATCAGCCCTCCAGTGCACATTTATGTGCCAGGAGTGAGATGTATGATTATTAAGGATCAAAAGGAGGGAATAATGTATAGGGATAAATGTGATCCTTACTATATCCTACATCATATCAGTACATCTTAATGAAATAACAGTAAAAAAAGTGTTCAGTTATGTTATAAGTAAGTACATGAGTGTCTTAGAGTAAGGTCCATTACACTAGTAATGGCTATTATTTTTATGCGTATATAGATATATACAATTATACGTTAATATACTATATGTCTTTTAATATAAATTGTATTTTTCTATTTGTAATAAGCAGCTAGAATGGCGTTTGAATAATTTGTGTTGGACCACTATACATCACAGGTGTTGTAAAATGATAAGCAATGATGGGTGTAGCCTATGTAAAAGAGACCCTATAAAAATGTGAACTGTAATCAACTTAATCAAAGCACTAGGTGGCCAGAGGGCGTGCTCTCATACAGCTGTATCTTCACCAATAAATATATAATTTGGAACTCTTGTGCTGACAGGTTGATTATTTCAGGTTGAAACCACAAAATTGCATACTCACTCTTAAAAGAATAAACAATCCAACTAGTATCCCATATTTAAAGGCACATCCCACACTTAAAAACAGCCTCATCACAGAAACACACACAACATAACATCTTACAAAATGAATGTAGAACAAATCCAGAATCATATGCATCAAAATATGGGAATTTCAGCTACACACAAAAAGCAAGAAACTGAACCCATCATGGAGGCCACAGGGAGCACATGATCCCACGCAAAAAATCCACCTTGCTACTAATTTAAGTAGAATCTTATCCAAGTCTTTATTAATAAACTTGAGGGGGTGGTGCTCACAGATGATATTTGGCTGTCAAGTCTATATGTGGAAGCTCTAAACAACAATATTAGACATGAATTGGGGTTAAAAGCCTGTGAGTACTTTTTGAAAAATCGTGGTGTGATTTTTCAGTCACATACTGACTTTATCTTTGAAGCGTTTCAAGATTCAAGATAAAGTCAGTTTATGGGCACAGCTTGTGCCCCCACTTCAGCAAATCTTTTTTGGGTTGGTGGGAGCAGACAGTTGTATCTATTGAAGATTTAGAAGCATATACATCCAAGATATTATTATGGGCCAGATTCATAGATTATAGATTCATCTTATGGCAAGGATCATGTAAACTCTTCAAAGACTTTGTGAAGATACTCAATACTAACGATATATAGGGATGTTCTTCACGAGTGAAATTCACAAAGATAATTTACATTTTTTTAGATCTATGAATTACTAGGGGAGAGGATTGTAAAATTGGCAAGGCCATATATCATGAGTCCACCTCCACAAATAGTCTCTTACACTGGGACAGTCATCATTCCACACCCCTTAAAAGAAGCATCCCGATGGAACAGTTCCTAAAGGCAAAAAGGAACTGTTCCTCAGAAGGAGCTTTAAGGGAAGAAAGTGATTGTCTCTTTAAAACATTTCATTAAAAGGGGATATAAAACGTTTGATCTGAAAATTTTATTCGAGAAAGTGAAGAAGATCCTAGAGAGTCGTTAATAATATCAAGAAAAAGGAATGTTGAAGCGGAGGTGGAAACTGTAATTATTGGAACTTACTGTAGACAATCTGGCCAAATATTTAATATTGTGAAAGTATATCAGCATGTATTGTTAGATGACAAAAATTTGTCAAAAGTGCTACCAAAAACCCCTATGACCACCTATCGCCAAGGTAAAAGTCTTTGCAACATGCTTGTATATAGCCACATGGGAAAAGCATCCAGATTTTTCCGAAAACCAATGTGGCTACAACATAAGCCTATAGGCAGCTATAAGTGTGACCACTGCAAGTCCAAATGGTTCACATACTTTTTCCTCCCTGCACTGTGAATGTTTACATGTTGTGTGCAATTAAACCATGGCAACATCTAATGTTTGTGTAGTATTATGTTCAGCAGACTGTGTTCTTCTATTGTTGTGACTTAGATGACGTTCAGAGCACATTTTATGCCCAATTCATGCAAAACTCCCACGTAATCCCAAGGGGTTTCACATACTTTTTCTTGCAAACTGTATATATTGTACATTCACATCAGTCCCTAGCCCTCAAGGGGCGTACAATTAAGGTCCTAACTTACATTCATACATGCACATACTAGGACCAATTTTAGACAGGATCCAATTAACCTACCAGCATGTTTTTTGGAGTGTGGGAGGAAACCGGAGTACCCAGAGGAAAACCCACACAGGCACAGGGAGAACATGCAAACTCCAGGCAGGTGGTGTCGCCGTGGCTGGATTTTTCACTTAGTACTCCTGACAAAGCTCTTTTTGGGGAGCAAAAACAAATTGAGTTAGTTTTGCATCACCTTTTTCTGCACTTTTTTTCGGTGATTACACATGGTTTATAGGATGGAGACCAACATCACACCCACTCATTTGGGAAGAATATGCAACTCCTCTGTGCAACATCAGCCAGCTTATTGAACAGGTATCAATTGGGTTAATGCAAGCCTATTGGAGGCCTTTGTTCGTCCTTGAGAGACTATAGTTTTTATGCACATTATGATTGAAGACCACTTCCCCTTTCCCCTTTACTTGCAGCGCACATTGCTAGGTATTTAGAAAAGGAATTTGATGCAGTGGTGACACTGTAATTAGGGGACTAAGTTACCCCTATTAGAAAGGAATATCCATACCATATACAGTTGTGTCCAAAATTATTCAACCCCCACTGAAATTGAGTGTTTTGGCCAGTTTGCATTGCTTTTTGATCATTCAGTCATCTTGCTTACTTTTACATTAAAGAGGCACTTGTAGGTCAGACAAATATAACATAACAGTTTATAATGAAATTAACACAAATGTCTTTTCTGTGCTCACAGGCATTTATCAGTTTTATTCAAAATCTCCCCAAGTGACATTCAATCTTAGTACTTTTTACAGCATCCTTTTACAGTTTATAACAGCTTTTAAAACGTGAAGCATTGCTTGACACAAGTGATAATCTATGCAGCGATCTAAAACGGGTATCTTCGCCCATTCTTCATGGGCAAAGGCCTACTCAGTTCAGTCATTATTCTTAGCTTGCGCACTGCAACTGCTTTCTTTAAGTCCCACAGAGGTTCTCAATCGGAATTTAAGTCTGGTGACTGCGAGGCCACTGGCCACTCACTAAGGATGTGCCAGCTTGCCTCTGCAACCATGCTATAGTGGCTAACTTG